CTTCCTTCCTTCCTTCCTTCCTTCCTTCCTTCCTTCCTTCCTTCTTCCCTCTCCACCTAGCAATAGCACTTAGCCTTATATACAGCTTCACGGTGCTTTCCAGCCTTCTCTAGGCAGTTTACAGAGTCAGCCTCTTGCCCCCAACAATCTGGGTCCTCATTTGACCCACCCACCCCTCAAGGATGGACGGCTAAGTCAACCTTGAGCCTGGTAAGATTCGAACTGCCAAATTGCAGCCAGCTGGCAGTCAGCAGAAATAGCCTGCAGTACCGCCCTCTAACCACTGCGCCACCCCTTGCTCATTGCTTAGCATTGCTTCCGGTGTGTTTGACATCGTAGCATGGATACGAAGAAGCATTTCTAGAATCCCGGACTTTAATTGCATGGGTCATCCTTACGGGCTCATGAACTGCTCATTGTTCAGTCTGGCCTTCCCAAACACGACCCAGATATTTTCTTTTTCTTTTCTTTTTATGTCCGCTTGTGGCCTTGCCAAGCATTCCAGAGCGCTCACTTCCAAGGCAACCTTTCAAGGAAGGCGTGAGACAAAACACCTCTGCAGACATTCAGGAGTCTTCTCAAATGAGAGGCCACACAAAACCCGAGCAAATCACAAGGGGAATGCCCTCCGGGCGCTGGAAGACTTGAGGGAAAGCAAGCAGGTTGCTCAAGACAGGGATGCCAAGTCTGCAGGTGGCAGCTGGTAAAGAGCTACTCTCCAACAGAAACACTTCCTCTGAGTAGGACGGTCCAGCTGGTTATGTCTCCAAGGGGTTCTGCTCCCTGCTTGGGTGGAGGCAGCTGCCTGTGGAATGACTTACCTCCAGAAGTTGTGGAGTGCTCCGTCCCCTCTTCTCAAGAAGAGACTGTCCAGAATAGTTTAGGATCTCCTGCTTCAGCTGGGAGGGGGGGGTTGAACTAGAAGTTGCCCCCCCAACCCTATGATTCTATGTTCTGTGCAGCATTGAGGAATATCGGTTTGGTTGGGCATCTAGCAAAGAAGGGATAGGATTCTTGAATGAGATCACATGGAGGTCTGTGGGGTGAGGTGTGTCTTCTGCTGCCTGGCCCTGCCCTGCCCCCCTTGATGGGGATTATTGATCTTCTCCAGCCCCATAAGACTTTCTGTCTCATCTGCCACTTTTTAAAGATGGTTTTAATTTAAGAAATGAAAACAGAAAGGGGACAGGTTACACAGAGAAGCAGCAGCGTTGAACCGTGTAACTGATTACAAGAATCGGACCTTAGAAAGATCCCATTGGGGTAATATAGGGAGGAGGAGGAGGAGGAGGAGGAAGAGGAGGAGAACATGTCTGATCCAGGGTGCATCACCAAAGAGGGTAAAAATCATGTCCAAATCTTAAAATACTTGCAACACCAATCCATCATCAGTTTCCACTCTCCTCTCCACCCCTGTTAAGAACAGAGAAGGGGAAAACGTGTTTGAGTCATGCTTTTAAGCAATCTGATTTTTGTTGCAATGGCTTGGACGGTTCCTAGATCAAAAGAAAGCTCTTTTCTTTGAATTTTGCAGTGAGTCCCCGGTTGTTCTGAAATGGTTGCAGGTGGAACTGTGTGTCTTAGAAAACGATTTATATTGAAATGTTTTACCTTAAGGAAAGATGCCACCACACATGTAGATGTTAAGAAAGTTGTGTGCAAAAAACACACAGCTCTCTCTCTCACACACACTCTCTCTTTCTCCCTCCCTTCCCCCTCTCTCTTCTCTCTCTCTTTCTCTCCCTCTCCCCCCTTTGGGGGAATATACGCAAGGAGGGAGAAGGAAAGAGAGAATATCACAGAAAAGAAAAGCAATTCATTGGCTGAGATATGGTATCGAATGTATGTGAGACTCAACAGCGACCATAGTAAATTTTCCTAATGCACAATTCAGCTGAGTTATACTATCTGAATCGGAGGCAAATTTATCCTGGATTAATAAAATGACGCTTAGGCAGATTATGGTAACCAAGTAACACTCACCACATTTGCTCAGACTAAACCCTGATGTAAAGAGATACTACAACAAGAGTTTTGGTTGGTCCTGACCATGACTGATCTGAAGGCAGGGCCAACTCTGAGTTGCTTTCAATTGAGTTGTTTCCTTGAAGCCAAGGCAGGGGCTTTCAATGCATATGTTCAACTGTTCATCCTTTCCTTTTGAAAAATTAAGAAATTATGGACTTTGGAGGAAGAAATGGTGAGCTGAGGATAGCTCCACAAAATGTGAAGCAAAAACTATGGCAGACTGAAGACTTTGTACGGGAACCTGCTCTTTATAATTCTTCCCTGAACAATCCGTGGACTTAAGATCACCCACAAATACTCTGGACAGCTGCTCCTCACAAGAAGACTGCAAGACAGAGATCTCGATAGTGAATTTAGAATTAAAATAGATATTTTGTTCAATCCACAGTTGGCTATTTTAAAAGGACACCGGATTTGCCTACTTCCTTTTTAAAAAAATACCTTTGGAAATTGCTCATTAATTGCTTCTCCGCTATTAACAAACTTCGGATTGAGAAGTTGAAATCACCGGGTGAGTCTTCGTCTTAAGTGAAAGAAATTTCAATTGCAAGTTGAAGGACTTAATTTGTTTATTTTTAAATAAACAGCAAAAGGACTATTAGAACTTTGATTCTGAACAGTTACAAATGGATTATGGGTCTAGATAAATTTGAAATGGATTATGGATCCAGGTAAATCTCATTATGGGTCCAGATAAATTAGAGGCCCAAATCCAGTTGAAACAAAATTTTGGAATTCATTATGAAAAATCATTCCTGTGAGGAAACGCTGTGGTTTTCAGTTCTTTGAAAGAAACGATAGGTTTGGACTTGGGTTGGCCACTAAGATGAACTGGAAAGAGAACTCTTCAAGAACATTTAAATTTTACTGACTAATTTCACATCTGTTGAAGGGGAATATCAAAACCTTGCAGGCTTGTTCTGTTTTCTGACACAACACAAATGGTACTGACTTAACCACCACTACGATGCTGGGAGTGGCTCCTTAAACATCTCCAGCAGCACAAAAGAGATTTTAAACAGCATCTAGAGAGGAGGTTTTGAAGTTGTGGCTTTTCATTACATGTGGTGGTTGTGGCAATGAAGAAGCCTTTTTAATCTGCTGGTTTCTGTTTGCTTAGGTGTCAAAAAATGGGCAGGGAATAGGTTTGATCCAGATACCAGTGTAAGAGGAGTCACGGCTGAGCTGGAATAAATTCTCGCTGATAGTTTCAAGCAATAACATTCATATCACAGAATGGGGCAGATAAAATCAGCTATAAAACCAGCTCTTTTATGTTCAAATCCAGACAAAGGCAAAAGCGTGATTTCATAGCCTCTTTCTTTCTCCAATAACCTTATGAAGGAGCTCCCTCTAGCTAACAAATTCACAGTTATGGCCATCTATTTTTCTCTGTCCCCTGCCTCAATTTAACCCAGCACTTTGTTTACAGAAGGGGAAGGGGAGCTTTTAAATAGCTGGGTAGCTATTTTTTGCAAAGTTTTTTGGGGGGAAATTTACTTGTCTGGCTTTCATTCCTCAGCATCAAGAAAATCAGTGTGTTGGATTTTGTCAATCACGCCGTTGGCCATTTTTGTAATGGCTAAGAATTATATATATATATTTTTTAAATGGTTACTTCTGTTCTGAAGGGAATGAACGCTTAGACTGGATTGGACCGCGTCTCTTTCAAAAATAAATTCTCCTGTAAGTATTTTACTACAAAAACAAGGGGCAGCGTAAACCTTCTCTGCAGATTTGCTGTGAAGCCTGGCACTGATTTTTTTGGGCAGAGGGAAAATTTAGCCCCTCTTATTTGATTGTAAATAAGGTTTGGACTTTTGAACATTGATTTAATATTTCTTTTTTTTTTTAAAAAGGCCCTAAACCTAGCCTGACTTAATCATGCATTTTATCTACCGCCTTGTGCTGAAATGCTAATTTTGGTAGAGATTAAGGAGATGTTTTTACAAGAATAATACCCCACATCTATTTAAATAAACGGTGAAATGATAAGCAGGCCTGCAACTAAAGGAAAAGAGTTAATTAAGAATCTCCAAGGTAACTTCTATTCCTTTGTTAACAAAACACAAATGTCAAGGGACAGTTATTTTATCTTTAACTGACCAATCGCCCACTACGCATACACTTGGAGAGAGAACAGTAATAATTTTATAACATCGCAGTTCTAAATACTCACACCAATAAATGTGCTGGATATATTTACACCCTCCATCTTATACACCCCAGCTCCTGTGTTTTCACTTTATCTTTGCGGTATCCTTTCACACACACACACACACACACACACACACACACATTCCCTGAAACTACAATTAAAAAGAAGTTTATTTATACAAAGATGTAAAATTAACAAGCCACCTCTGGAGATATAGAGAGAGAGAAAGGAAGCAGAAGTAGGAAATTCCACAAGGGATAAAATTAACTATTGATGAAGCTCGGACTGATCAATTTATAAATCTGTGGCAAGCGGCACCTATAAAAAAGAAAA